TGACTAAGAAACGATAATTGTTCGTAAAAATACATTTCTAATGTTTAACACGATTTACAAATATATCATTGAATTAATTCGATATAGATCATTTATTTTTATTTATTACAAATATTAGAAATCGTTAATATTGCAAATTGACCAGTTCAAGTTTCAAGTATTCAAGTTTTTACTTTGGTTAAATCTAGATCATTTTAAAATCTAAACTCGTTTTCAATGAACATATTTTTTGTATTAATTATACGACCTGTTTTCTTATTTATAATACTTCAAACGATACATTGAATATATTAATGTATGTTTCAAATAAACACGCATGTGTGTGTTATATTAAATTAATAGAATATTAAATTAAATGATTAACGTAATTTATTAATTAATTATTTATGAATAGAAAAATATTTGTTTGACTTATTTGTTGCATTTAATAATTATTCAATATTTTATATATTTCGTATATTCAACACTAGATATACCACCATTTTCAATATACCTATTTCTACCACACTAGTCAAAATGATTGATGTATAAAAAAAAAAAAAAATGCTTTTGGAGCCTTCCAATTGTTATTTACTCTTAAAAAATAACAAATAATATTTAATAATAATAATTTTAATAGATAAATCAATTTATAGATATTGTTAAATAACAAAACGCTTGGTTAATTATTTACAGAAATCAAATGTTACGTGTGAAGTAGAAATTTTGAATTAAAATGGTTTATCTGATATATCGAGTGTTAATTAAGATGCTTTTTTTTTACTAGACACTTATTTAATTGTCACGTGTGTTGCAAAGATTGATAATCAACAAGGTTAAGCTAGGAAAATATATCTTGATAGAAGTTTTATTGACCTAAATTATTAAATTATATATCTCCGATTGATCAATTTAAACTCGGATTGATTATTTGAAAACAAAAAATTGATTAACAATTCGATTAATTCAATTCGCAATATAAATGATTTCTTATATTTTAAAAATATACGAGATATTATTTATAATTATTTATATATATTGTTAATCAAAATAAATATTTATTTAATTACTTCAATACGTTTGTCAAATCATGACTGTATATATATATATATATATAAAATAATTAATCCTTTATCCACACATTGACATAAACGTGACTTTTATATAAACAAGATTAACGGGATTATGATTTTATATAAGGATATCACGATTTCAAATAATTTCTATCTCTTGTTCTCTTTATCTTTTTTTCTTTGTTTTCTTTTGAATAGAAATGCGAGACCAGACATCAACCGGAATATCGAAAATTCAGCGTAGATCCACAAATAACATCAATCGAAGTTCTTCAAAGTATATTGATCAAAGCATTCGATATCAAAGGGTAAGTTTTTACAGCAATTGCAATTATATTATTAAATATTAATTTATCTTATATAAATAATTTTTTGCTAAATTAAAACGTTGTTACCTTTTTTTCTTCTTCTTCTTCTTCTTCTTCTTCTTCTTCTTCTTCTTTTTTCTTATTACAGAGAATTTACAGTCTCGTATCGTGCGATAGACGATTATGGAACGGAGACGTATTTGTTCCTCCTCTCGGATTGGGATTTGGATGCAGCATTTATCAGGTAAAATAAAAAAAAAGATAATAAGTTACTCAAAGTAAAAAAAACAAACAAACAAATTAACTAAGTTACTTTGAAAAATATTATTCAGTGCTTCAGAACCTTACCTCTATCTGCAAGTGAATTTGAAACCATTCGGTGAAACTGGCGATTGCGACTGTTATTGGGAACAGAATGCTCAGGAAGTGGTTACTAGACAACAGGAAAGTGGATTTCCTTATAAAACACCAAAGTTACCAGGCCTCATAATGAATAAGGCAAGTGTAACATCATGTAATATCATAAGTGTATTATTTTGTTAGAATTTTTCTAATCAACATATAGTTCTCATTAAAATATTTATGAAACAACATCTAACTATTGAACTTTTAATTACAGGTAATATAAGTTAAGCAACCATCAAAATTATTCGACTACTGATACTCGAAATTTTACATTATATTACATAATTAATTGTTTAATTAACTTACAAACTTTTAGTTGAAATCAAATCTTTTCCTTAATTAAAATATGATAATCCGTAAAATCATAACTTCATTAATTTATTAATATATATATATATATAATCAAATATTATATTACTTGATGTATCATTTAAATTTGTCAATTGTTAAACAGATGGAAAGAACATTGAACATGGTACAACGAGCATTGGGTAATTTGAGCGACGAATCGTCACACCAGCAAAGTGTTCAACCACCAAGACCACCATTGATGGATGCGGAATTTCGTCGTTTTTTAGATCCTATCGGTCAGGTGATACATTCTAAAGAATTAAGGGCAGTCATTTATTTCGGTGGGATTGAACCGAGTCTACGTAAAGTCGTTTGGAAACATATTCTCAATGTTTATCCTGAAGGAATGTCTGGACGTGAAAGAATGGATTATATGAAAAGAAAAGCACAGGAATATCAAAATCTTCGAGAAAGGTGGCGAGTATTGGTACAGAAGGGTCAAAACGTTGGTGATCTTGGATACGTAACGAGTATGGTTAGAAAGGATGTTCTTAGAACTGACAGGCATCATAAATTTTATGGTGGTTCGGATGACAATCAAAACACAGCAAGTTTGTTTAATATTTTGACCACTTATGCATTGAATCATCCGAGTGTTAGTTATTGTCAAGGTATGAGCGATCTGGCATCACCACTTCTAGTCACTATGAGAGACGAAGCCCAAGCTTATATTTGTCTTTGTGCGCTTATGAGAAGATTGAAGGACAATTTTATGTTGGACGGTATCGCTATGACCACCAAGTTTGCTCATCTTGCTGAAGGTTAAACATATTTCTTTTTAAATATTTTCTTTACATTACTTTTCTTTCTTCTATTCGAAAGAAATAATATCATTTTCATTTATTTGATTATTTTTTTGATTTCAGGTTTGCAACATTACGATCCAGAATTTTACGCTTATTTAAAATCACATCAAGCGGACGATCTTTTATTTTGTTATCGCTGGCTTTTATTAGAAATGAAACGAGAATTTGCCTTGGATGACGCTTTGAGGATGCTAGAAGTACTTTGGGCTGCACTTCCAGCCCAACCACCCAACGGTGAACTTAGTCTAGCTGAAGTACCCTTTCCACCACCCTCACCACCACCTAGTCCTAATGTTAAACACATTCGTGAGAACGCTTATACGAAAGTATGCGCGATTAGACGGCAAAGTTCATCGGCCAGTATTGCAGCTAATGGAAAAAGAAAAAATATTAGCATGGAAGAATCGGTAATGCAATCAACTTTGGAAAGAAACGGTGATACTAAAAGGTATTTTTATTTTTTGGATTATATTATTATTATAATATAAAAAAAAATGTAAATAATTAATACGTTCGTAGATCGAATTCTCCTTATGAGACATCCTCGGAACCGGAAAATGATTTGACTTCGACTAAAAATCGTCGTAATTCCGAATCTACAGAAAAATGTTACAGTACTGATTCATTATCAGGAAACTTATCAGGAAAATCCAAACGCGTTAATTTAATGGAATTGAAAGAGAGATTGTCTCTACAAAATAGAGATCAAATTAAAGTTAACGAGCCAAATGATACGCCGGAAAAAAAGTGTGTCAAAGTTGTGAAAAATTTGAACGAATTTTTAAATTTCACTAGCTTGAATAGAAGTAAAGTAACCCCAAGTGATACTGAACCAGAACTTAGGTATACATTTAAAATACATTAACAATTTATTAATTAAAATAAAGATATAATTATATTTTATTATTTTACAGAAGAGTTTCGAGTGAAAGTGGTGTATTACGAGTTCTCAGGGACGAACCAAGTTCACCAGACGATCCAACTGATTTTTTCCCAATGACTACATCAATGACTAGAGAATTAAGACTGGAATTGGAGTCACTCGATCGACAAGTTTTTGGTCCTTCCCCACCGAGCGAGCAACAATGTGATTGTGTATTATCAAAACGAGAAAGCGAATTAGCAGAAAGTGAAACGGAAACTGAATTAGCTAGATGTAGTCCAGTAGCAGATGTGTTTGTGTGGGAAAATCCATTACATACTTTGCAACAAAAGCATCATCCCGCTACACCGGACGAACAAGCTGATCTAGAATACGATGGAGAAATATTGGAAGATCAAAATGGTGTTAAATCCGTAACACCTATTAGATTACTCAAACGAAATGCAAGGTTATTATTATTATTATTATTTTGTATAAATATGTTTTCTTCTCAGAAAAATAAAAAATGATTAAAACGTAAATTTTTATTACAGATCTGAATCTGCATCGGATAGCGAAGGTACAGAAAGTTGGCATCAAAATACAGAAGCACCAGAAAGTCCAACGAAACAACCGGTTCAAGAACATTGCGAGGAAGCAACGGAGCTTACAAATTTGATTCCAGCAGGAACAAGCGAGGATCAATCGGGAGAAAGTTCATTACCACCACCTAACGAATTTGGTGGTGGTAATCCCTTCCTAATGTTTTTGTGTATTACATTATTGTTACAACACAGAGACTTTGTTATGCGTAATCAAATGGATTACAACGAAATGGCAATGCATTTTGATAAAATGGTTAGGCGACACAATGTGATTAGAGTACTTAATCAGGCAAGACAATTATTTGCCGGTTATCTAAGAAGACATTCCGTGACATCGGCTGTTGTCAAATCAGACTGTGTGAACGTTTAAAACGAAAGATAAATAAGAAACGACAAAAATCTGATAACATATTTTCCCAATGGAGTTCTTCCGCTGACAAATATGTACGTATGTGAGGAATAAATTCCAACATATATTCTATTACGTACAGATTCATTCAAACGGGGCTTATTATACGCGCACATATCTCTCTTGCGTATTCGCGCTTAAGCGCACGTGTAATCTATGCCAGTAAAAAAAATAAACTGTTCCATAGTACTCGTTGAACGAAAAAGCTCTCCTATCCACCCTCTCCCCCATTTTTTGCAATATCTTACTCGATACGAAAAAAACAAAAAACAAAAAAACTAAAGACGCCAATATTCGTCGCGTTAATATATGTAGAATTTTGACGCGTGCCTTGAAACGGTATTCAGCCTTAGCCGGTTTTTTGATAGGCATACGTTAAAATATAAATAAAATTTAAACAAAAAATTAAATTCAAAAAAAGAAAAGAAATAAGCCCCGTTTAAAAAAAAAAATTTAAAAAAAAACTAAGCGTTTGCTTACGCACGACACATCATATCTCAAATACGAATTGCACAATACCATCAGCACCGCTTCGATAAATTCTTTTTTGTCGGCGGACAAATACACACACACACACACACACACACTCTCTCTCTCTCTTTTCGGCCGTACCTCGAATTAGGATTAAATTCCCTTCTAGTTTAAATTTGTAAAATATGTATCTTAAAACTATTTTAGCGGCTACATCTCTTAATTTGTTCTCAAACGATTATGCTTGAGAAACGACAATAAAGTGCATTTAATTTTATCTCTATTTATATTGTTAACTTTTATTAAATATTATATATCATAATTTATCATTTATTTCTTACACCCACTTTTTTTATTTTCTAAAGTACATTATAACAGATTTATAAATATCTACAATTTTATATTTTTAATGCTTATTGAATTTATAATTAAGTTCCTACTAGATTATAATAAATATGCCATTTGAATATTCTTATTGTTAATTAGAATTTAATTTGGATGTTACATCAAATACTGAAATAATTTCAAATGAAAATCACGTTTTTAAGGAAATTTATTTTCTATTGCTAGAACTGTGTGATAAAATGTGTATCATATTTAAAAAGATATTCATAGCATCCAAGTAAATAGAAATAGCGCTGAAAAGAAAAACAAAACGTTATTAATTAACAAGGAAAAAATAGAAACAATTAAATTCATTAGATATTTTTGTTCTTTTACAATATACTTACTTATTTATCGGGTCGTATTGTTTCACACTTTGGTTGTAATACATAGGATATTGTTCTGCTTGCTTAACAATTTTTTGTGTATCGTATAAGAGGAACATGGAGAAAAGTACTACTCCACCATACACGGATAAAGTATAAAGACTAGTACCCAAAGCGGTAGTGGGTGGTAAGAAAATAGATCCTAATGAACTAACCAATACAACTCCCAAACCGATAGAAAGAGGACCAGCCATCTTTAAAAACTTATCGCTAGGTGCACACATTGCTACTGTTGATAATCCACCGATTACACCAGCAGTGTACAATGCAGCTCTAGTTAATAACGGACCACCCAAGAAACATATTGGTGCAATAACAGCACCCATTAAACCGGCATGACCCATCCACGCTAGTTGTTTAGCACCAAAACCTTCCTTGTAAGGAATACTTCGTACCAATATGCTACTACCGATCATTGCTGCAATTGTACCAACAACCGCCATCCATCCTTGTTTGGTTACAATTCTCATTACTGCAGGAGAACGGAAACATAATGCAGCAGATGCTGCTGTGAGGACGATAGATCCTCCGAAGTACATGTAAGTTGTTCTAATTCTTTCTTTTACGTACTCGGGCCAAAAACTGTCAGAAAGTAAAATAATTATATTAACATATTATAATTAACACATGATGATGCTAGGTTTGCATTACATCATAAAGAACCATAAGAGAATAATACATTGTAAAATATTTTGATTATAGTTTGTCAACGGTGAAAATAAAATTAGTAATTTATAGTATTTTCTAATAAAGTATTCGATTGAAAATTTGTTAGTTTCACGATATTCATTTAATCATCACATTTTATTATGCAAACATCTTTTTTTATTTTGTGATCATCCGAGACATTGCGTTTGGAATCCAAATATTCTTGAAGTTTTACTTGGAAAAATAAATGTATAGGTACGTACTGTACTTTGTCTATGGCTCCGGGCCTACTATCAAGTCCTAATCCGTAGTAACAAAGAGCACCTAATCCAAATGCAGAAGCACCAGCAATTACAGCTTTTCCAACCAAGAATGCTAAAATATAATTAACAATTAGAAACCCATGAGAGGTTATGAAAGGAACAAAATTAAATTTTTTATTTCTAATTCATTTTTATAGGTTATAATTTATAATTATACTTACGTTTTTCAGTAGCTGGTTGTGACAATCGTTCTGTAATAGTTTTTTCTTTGCGTGCACTTCTTGTAAATGCAGTACGTCCATCGTTGGCGAACAATCTCGAAGGTTGGATTTGTTTTAAAATTGGTTTAGGAGTAATGGGAGTTTTCATTAAATTTACTATGGTAGGCGAAATGCCTGCCCGACAAACTCTAACCAACATCATCTTGCTGATTTTACTTATTCGCTCGTATTATGTCTGTTGAAAATTAAAACAATAATTAATTATCTCAAACGTAAATAAATGATTGATTCATTTTAATACACATTACTTCAAATTATTATTTGAAGGTTACGTACAATTTATTTGATTCCAACAAAACTCGCTTGATTACGAATTAAATCGTTGAAATTAAAAACAATAATTTATGAACAGTTAGGATACTGTTATTCTAAAAAATGTAATATGCAAGTTACTTACATGATGCAATGTCGATGCAATCTGAATCAAAAATATGCAAACGTTAGGTCAACTCAACTGTTTCTGACTACTATGTGACACTCGTGTTAGTTACGGAAGGCGCATGCGCAGTAAAACTCGATGAAATTTCTCGAACTATTCGATCGATTTAATAAGTCTCACAAGTGAATCATAATTCGTAGAATAATTAAATTTCACTTAATGTTTTATATTAATTCATTATTAAATAAATATTAATATATTATATGTATATATACAATATATATATAATTTAATTTGAAAATAATAGTTCGATTGAATTCAAATTTCCCGCAAGACGAGAAACGATATATATCGAACGCATAAAACAATACACGCGATCGATTACAAGCAACTTTTGATTTACTTCACGTCGCATCAACGATAAGTGTTAGAAACCAAATCAATATTTTCTATTTAGAATTATAATATTTCTAATTATTTAATATGAAGTTTCAAAATTGATTCTAACATAATTTGTATTTATACATTTATAAATTTGTATATATATAGAACACTAAGAGGTATTATATATATATATTTTCATATTTATATCAATAAAAATATATCTCACGATTGTTAAATTATATTTAAATTGTCTTTTTAAAACGTTTCTTTAGATTTTCTTTAAATTGAAAGGATTGACAGAGAGAAATAGTGTCCTTCGAAAAATCTGGCAACGATTCTAGGCCACTCGATACATATAAATTCACAACGACAATTATTTATGACAGGACAAAGCCTATTATAGTCAACCATTTAAAAAAATCGACATTGAATTTTGACAAAATGCGAAACAAGAACAAATTAGGTATACACATTCCTTTCATTTAATTAAATAATAATTCATTTCTATTATTTCTTTTCAGTAATGAATTAACATAATAAAAAACCATTAATTTTACATAAAGAAAAAGAATTGGAACATCAACAAACCATACATCTATATGCAACAAATAAAATGTTCATATGTTTATCTAAATCCTTGGGATACTGCTTAGAAATAGGACTAGTTCAATGAACGGATTAGAAAATTACATCTATATACAACGCCTACGCTTTTAAACATCTAATACTTTCATAGAAACATTCCAATTGATATTCTATCTCTTGAATATATTTCTCTACGTTTGGGAATTAAAAAGAAAAGAAAAATAATGAAAAACGATAGAGACAAAAGAGAGAGAGAACAAAAAATGAGATGAAAGGAGAATAAAAGCTATTGGGTAGGGGAATGAGGAAAAAAAGAAAAGACAGGGGGGGAAAAAAAAGACTAGAAAATAATAAAAGAGATAGAAAAAAAGAAAATGCTAAAGAAAAGAGAAAGAGAGGAAATAAAGAAAAAATATTCGATCCGATTCCGTAGAATAGTACCGCCAACAACCCCACGAGGAATTTACGCGCACGCGCGGCTGTATTATATTCTGACGAAGGGTGAGAGAAAGTAAATGTATGTATGTATGTGTGTGTGTGTGTGTGTGTATGTGTTTATGTCTCTATATATGTGAAAGAGAAAGAGAGAAAGCTAGATAGAGATCGAACACCGAGCTTATATACTCTCTCTCAGTTTGCTCCCGTTCTTCTCGCGAAATTCTCTCCTTTCTATTCACTTTGAACCAACCATCACTAAAATATCATTCGTATCTCATCCTACATTGAAATAATGTATTTTTGATTATATCATTGTTAAGAGTTTGATAAACGCGAGATAAAAACATTGTTCGCGAATATAGTTCTATCGATTTAAAAAAAAAAAAAACAAAAAAAATAGAAATAAAAAAGAAAGATACATCATCGTCATTATCATCATTCAATCGTTTTCAGACTGGTGGTCTGAATTTGTTGTGGAATGATTGACAAGAAGAGGATTAGGATCATAGATTTTTAACATCTAACATCGTTTAAATCAATCTAAGGATTTGCTTATTCGACTAATCGCATAAGATTGACGACATTGTCTAATTACTTCAAATTACAGGAATAACGTAAGTAACTTTTTGATTTTATTTAACAACGAATTATATTAATTATTAATATTGAATAATAGTGTTTAAAGAAGACACAATAATTCGTTAAATTGATTTGTTTTAATATTAAAGATTTGAGGTGTATGACGTTATGACTATAGTCAGATATATAGAAGTATATACAGGGTGCAAAGCACTCGACTCTTTTAAACCGTGGAATGGGAGGGTTAAGAAGGGTGGGTGTATTCTTAAATCGTTATTTTCTATTTTAATCTAATCCTATAAATGATCGTTTTATCAATCAATAAGTATCTTTTAATATTAACATTACTATTTTCCATTTTTATCCCTTAATTTCAAATGTTCTTCTCAATTTCAATTGCATTATTTTTGTTCGATTCTTTTGATATAAAATACAATACTTATAAGAAACATTATTTCATTTTATTTAAAGTTTATTAGAAGAATTCGTTTGAAAAGATTGGAAAGATTGCAGTAGTAGTAACAGCAGCATCCTGTTACTGTTACCGTTACTGCAGTAAAGTTAAAGTATTTGAACTAATTCTACGTAAAAGCAGCCATGTTCATTCGTGATACAAAAAACTGAGGGATAATATTATTTCAAAATACAAATACACGCGTGTCAACGCGCATATTATTTTCTTATCTTTTATTTTTCTTCATCCCTTTTATTTTTTTTTTTTTAACGTCGAACAAAGATAAAGAATCTTCATTAATTAGGAAAAGGGACCTGGTGTTCTCAACGCTGCAAAATTCAACGCACAAAGATGAGTTACACGATCGATCGATGCGTGACTCTTTCTACGAAACAGATACACATATGTACGCATGTAGTCACACACATACACATACACAATACGCACACGAGCATTATGCATACGCATACGTAGAAGAAGAAGGAGGAGGAGGAGGAGGAGGTAAAAAAAAAACAAAAAAACAAGAAAAAGAGTCTAAAACTTACTTTACGTTTTACTAATTTTTCTATTTTTAGTGAATAAAGTAACAGGGACGAATTTTTGACTACCCCCTCAAATTCCCTCTACCTCACCCTTCTTCCCTTCACCACAATCAGCCTGCTGTCCTCCTTCGCCCACCACAAGATTTGACACATCGATCGAGTGAAATTTGAGAACACGGTTCGTTAGAAATGATATAATCCGATTAGTTTAGGTACGAAGAAAAAGAAAACATGAAAGAGACTACTGTTGTTTCAAGGAAACCTCATCTCGACTAACAGAACTTCTTACGAGTATCTTTGTACGTAAACAGAAAAAGAAAAAAAGATGGGGGAGAAACTGTAAAGAATTCTCCCTTTTTTTCTTTCTTTTTTTTTTTTTTTTTCTTGACGATACGTAACAAGATTCATTCAGTGTGATGAAGAAATACGACGACAAGGTGTAAGGAGAGTTTAAACAGAAGCCATTGAAATAAATCGTTGGGGGTTCTTGAAAAAAAATAAAAAAGGGACAATGACAAGATTACGATTTATTAAACACACTTATATTATAATGTACCTAAGTTTAAACGAAATAATAATTATAAAAAGAAAATCATTACTCTGAATAAATAGAAAGATTTCATAGAGTGGGGGTGAGGGATGGTTTGATGGTAATAGGAACGATCAAATGATATTCAATTTAATTAATTCAAATTCAATATTCGATATTCTGTAAAATTTCCAATTATAATATATATATATATATAACTTTATTTTATATTATATAATATAAAGTAATAATTAATTAAATATAATATAGAATATATTTAATTTATTATATATATATATATAT